AAAAAAAAAAAAAAAAAAAGAAATCCTCAAAGAAGTATTTCATTAGACAAAGTTTAAGCTTGTGTATTTTTCGAACAAGGACTCCAAAGCATAAAAACTTGCCTTGGTTTTGTATGATAGCTGAAGGTAATATTTTCAGAAAATTAAGGCAGCTCCAAATGAAAACATATCATTTTTTGAGCAGAATCATATCACTGAGTGAAGATATGGAGTCAAATCCTGGTCCTGCAAATGAGTATTGCAAATCAGTACCTTTTATATCACCCAGAAATTCTGTCTGATTATTAGAATTCAGATTGTCTCAGTTAGGCAGAACTACATTTGATGTTGGAGGAGATGGTGATTGCTTTTTTAGGGCTGTATCACATCAACTCTATGGAAATCCTCAGGGTCATTTCTATGTGCGCAGTGTTAACATTTAGTATTTAATGAATCACCCTGAACAATTTATAGAGAGTAAAACTGAGCATTCTTGGCAAGGTTATTTGGAAAGAATGTCATGTCAAGGAACATGGGCTGATGCTATCATAATTCAAGCTGTTGTCAATTGACTTAATTTATCAATTCATATTGCTGAATCAAATCCAACTTTTTCTCCAGTTACTGTTGTTGAGCCAGTGAATGTTACAAATGCCCTAAACATTTACATTGGATACCTAGATGAATTTCATTATGTTTTCATAGTCGAAAACAGAACAATGGAGATAAGAGACAACAGCAAACAAACAAAAAATGCAGATGAAAACAAACCAGTTGATAACAGTGAAACACGTAAAGCTTACAGAAGAAAATACACGAGAGAATACATGAAAGACAGAAGAGCTGATGATAACTTTAGAATAAATGGGTATCAAAAACGACTACAAGGCTGCAACATTAATAGCAAAAATCTAGGAACAAGAAACACCAGACTGCTAAAAGAACAAAATTGAACCCAAAACATGTCAGAGAAATTGAGCAGCGCTCCTTCAGAAAACGAAAATCAGACAACCCACAGCACATAAGGCAAATAACCAAACAGTCGGTAATAAAAAGACAAAAGGCTGAGACTCTGGCAAGTGTGTCGCTACTAACATGTAGCAGTCATGAGTTGCAGCCACAAGAAAATAAGTACGATGCAATTTCTATGATAAATTTGTTTTACAAAAACATTGCATGTGGCCCAGAATATGTATGCACTTGTTGTGACCAATTGTACTGGTTCAAGTGCTCACCATGTTCACTAGACATTGTTGAGTCCTGTCTTACTGGTTTTAAAAGTGTCAATGACACTGAATGGAGCTGCATGACTTGCAATAAAAAAAAGTCTAAAAAGTCTGAAAAAGCAATTGTCTAACTTGCAAGAAAAAAGGTCTAAAACAAGGCAGGTTACCCAGCTGTTCTAAAGCCAATAAGATGGGTTTTCCTTATAAGCCTAATGTATTGAATTTCACATCANGTCATTTCTATGTGCGCAGTGTTGGCATTCAGTATTTAGTGAATCACCCTGAACAATTTTATAGAGAGTAAAACTGAGCATTCTTGGCAAGGTTATTCGAAAAGAATGTCATGTCAAGGAACATGGGCTGATGCTATCATAATTCAAGCTGTTGCCAATTGTCTTAATTTATCAATTCATATTGCTGAATCAAATCCAACTTTTTCTCCATTTACTGTTGTTGAACCAGTGAATGTTACAAATGCCCTAAACATTTACATTGGACACCTAGATGAATTTCATTATGTTTCCATAGTAGAAAACAGAAAAATGGAGATAAGAGACAACAGCAAACAAACAAAAAAAATGCAAATGAAAACAAACCAGTTGATAACAGTGAAAAAACGTAAAGCTTACAGAAGAAAATACATGAGAGAATACATGAGAGACAGAAGAGCTGATGATACCTTTAGAATAAACGAGAATCAAAAACGAGTACAAGGCTGCAAGATTAATAGCAAAACATCTAGGAACAAGAAACACCAGGTTGCTAAAAGAACAAAATTGAACACAGAACATGTCAGAGAAATTGAGCAGCGCTCCTTCAGAAAACAAAAATCAGACAACCTGCAGCACATAAGGCAAATAACCAAACAGTCGGTAAGAAAAGGACAAAAGGCTGAGGTTCTGGCAGGTGTATCACTACTAACATGTAGCAGTCATGAGTTGCAGCCACAAGAAAACAAGTACAATGCAATTTCTATGATA